GCTGACAGCCTGCCTGTGACAGCCTGCTGACAGCCTGCCTGTGACAGGCTGCTGACAGGCTGCTGACAGCCTGCCTGTGACAGCCTGCTGACAGGCTGCTGACAGGCTGCTGACAGCCTGTGACAGCCTGCTGACTGCCTGCCTGTGACAGCCTGCTGTCAGCCAGCTGACAGCCTGCCTGTGACAAGCTGCTGACAGGCTGCTGACAGGTTGCTTGTGACAGCCTGCTGACAGCAGCCTGCTGACAGCAGCCTGCTGACAGGCTGCTTGTGACAGCCTGCTGACAGCAGCCTGCTGACAGCTTGTGACAGCCTGCCTGTGACAGCCTGCTGACAGCCTGCCTGTGACAGCCTACTGACAGGCTGCATCACAGGGTGGTATGGGAACTGCACCAGTCAGAACTGTAAAGCTCTACAGAGGGTGGTGCAAACAGCAGAGGACATCAGTGGTAGCAGTCTCCACGCCATTCAGGACATCTAACACAGCCGATGTCTGTGTAAAGCATGCAGCATCATTAACCTTCCTAGCGGGGCGAGATCCCGCACGCACTTATGATGTGAACGGGTCAGTTGTGACCCGTCTTAAATCAGCCAAAAAATGCCCTCAAAACAGTGTTTTTTTAAGAAGTATTAGAACACATCACTAAAATAAATTTGTCTTATTATTTTGTTATTTTAATATTATTAACCATAGTAACATTTATAGTGTTAAGGGGAAGTTTTGACCCATGTATATTTATTTATTTTAAGGATTACCCGTTTTCCTTGATTCTTCTCAGGGATGCCAGCTGCAAGTTTGCCTGTGTAAATCTGTAGATTCCAGGCATAGCTGGTTTTCGCATCACAGGCTGCCCAGATTTTTATGCCATATTTGCCTGGCTTACTGGGCATGTATTGCCAGAAGGGGCATTTTCCACGGAAAGGGAGAAGACGCTCATCCACTGTCACCTCTGGTCCTGGGTTGAACATCAGTGGAAGGAGCTTCCCCCATCTATCCCAGACGTCTTTGATGGGAGCAAGCTTGTCAGACCGTGCTCTAGTATCACTGTTGTCAAATCTGAGGACTCTTGAGATCATTTGAAAGGTCTGAAGTGACATTGTTGCGCGGAAAATACTCCTGCCTGTGGACACATCCCAGAGACTAGTAAGGGCCTCATTGCTGGATCTGTACACGCCAGCGAGAAGAAGAACACCAATAAAAGCATCCAGGCACTCCTCATCAATGTCCTTCCAAGTGTCACCGTGAACTTTTTTCCCTTCGAAGTTTGTCATAGCAATGATGACTTTCTTTAGTGACAATGGCATAAACAAATCAAAGCATGTCTTGATGTCACTTACTCGTGTCACAGCAAACCATGTAATCCTAGGGGTCATCTTCATAACATTTTCAGCAGCTTCCCTGCCACGTGAAACAGGAGGAATCGCACTCCAAGTTTTTGGATTTATAGGTTTCAGTTACAGGAGCAGCTTCAGCACCTGTGCCCTCCTCATCCGACGAGTCTGTGTACTCTGATTCATATTCAATAGCATCGTCCTCCTCAGAAACTGGCTCATCTGTGTCACTAGGTGTGTCCTCTGCATCATTTTCAGCAAGGATGTGATCTAGAGCTTCTTGTACTGTGAATCTTCTCTTCATTTTGGTATGCAGCCAAGCTCTAGGTAAAATGGAGTGTCTGTTTCTACATGTCTCTATATGCCCATGTAGAGACACACCCAGGTGGGTGTGTCTATCTAGGTCTGCCTATCAAGATGGGCATGGCTATCCAGGTAGGCTCATCTCTACATGGGCATGCCTCAACATGTCTCTGCATCTACAGCTGGATGAACTTTTTCAGTTTTTGGGAGCAGAGTATAAGGGACTTATCAAGAAAAGTAGTACGGATAAATGGGGATGTTTTGGTCAGTGAAGTAGACAAACAGGTAAAAACAGAAGGCCCTAACATATGTATGACAAAGTTAGTGAGGTCACAGTGTGTTTATGATTTCAGTTTTGACACTGATTATTGGTTGATAGTCTTATACCATAACTGGGTCACAAATGACCCCAGCGCGGCAAGTGCGTGTTGTTCTATAAAAAATAAAAATTAAATTTAGTGAAAAAAAATATATATTTTTTTTATTTAAATAAAGGTTCCAGACAAAGTCAAAAAGCCTTGATGCAAAAAAAAATATTTAAAAGACAGTATCATGATTTAAAATTTAAAATGGGTCACTACGGACCCTAACATAGATAACTGTTGGGGTTTGTGCTGTTTTACTGTAAATGTTGTCTGCGTTAGTTCAAGGTGAAATTGTGTTTATTTGTCACATTCAGGTTAACACAAGGTCAACACTGTACAATGAAATGTTCAGGATGAGATGAACTGATCTGACTCACTAAACAAACAAACAAACAAGAAATATTAAAGCATACAATAAGGATACAAAATAAAGTACCAAAAAGTGAAAAAGTAAAATATAAAATTTACAAGGTCCAAAAGAAAAACTAGTAAACAACAACATGGTAGAATATAACGGTGCAGCAGGATAACTTTGTATGAATAAGTATTTCAAGGTAGTGATATAAGATAAAATGCACATGATATATATATATATATATATATAGTACATAACTAACATAAACTATACAGGTTATTGCACAGGTAATGTGTAACATTAGGATTAAATGAATTACGATGGTAAGGTAGTGACATACATGACACATACATGAAACAGCCACATAATGCAGCAACAATAAACATATTAGTTGTCACAGATGTGGCTGACAATGTTATTGTCAATTGTTCAGTAATCTAACATCTTATGGATAATAACTGTCTTTGAGTCTTTTTGTACGTGATGACTCCTGTATCGTCTGCCTGAGGGTAGTAGACAGAAGGGTCCTTGTGCTGGGTGGGTGTGGTCTTTATCAGCAGGATGTTGGTGAAACATCCATGAAATCTTTAGAACGTACAGCTCAGACCAACTCCACAACAGGAACACGTTTATACTCAGTGATTCACAGAAAGACGGACTTTAGATGTCTGGACTACTAGTTAGATATCTTTTATGGATTTATGTTTTTACACCGAACACTCAGCTAACACATGATGATGTCACTCATTCAGTTTGTCTAAACATGAGAGGGCACCAATGAGCTTCCAACCATCCATCCATCCATCATCATCCATCCATTATCCATCCATCCATCAGTCATCCATCCATCCATCCATCATCCATTCATCCATCCATCCATCAATCCATCATCCATCCATCCATCCATCCATCATCCATCCATCATCCATCCATCCATCCATCCATTCATCCATTATCCATCCATCCATCCTTCCATCCATTCATTATCCATTCATCCATCATTATCCATCCAACCATTCATCTGTCCATCCATTATCCATTCATCCATCCAAACTGATTATTAACACATGCTGGAAGTTGAACTTCAATGTTTCTGAAGACATTTTTCAGTAATTCTGTTGGCTTCATGAGCATTAGCTTGTTTCATTGTTTATTATTTATTTATGCCTAGGATTAAGTGAAATGTGTGGATTTGGGTCAGAATGTGAGTTCAAGATAATTTACTCTGAGGGTCAGTTAGGTTCACATCTGACAGGAAAATAAAAACATAAATAAACCAACATGAATGAATGAAATGATCCTGTCTAACTCTGAATGTTAGGAAACACCTTGTAACTGACTTTCCTTCCCTCCATTGACTACGGTGACATTATTTACATGAACGCTCTTACAAGAACCCTGCAGATGTTGGATGCTGTCTATCATGGTGCACTAAGATTCATAACTGGCTGTAACTACCGTACCCATCACTGCATCCTGTATTCACTGGTTAACTGGACATCATTAACTTCACGCAAACTTTCCTACTGGTACATTTAAAAAAATTGTATGCCTCTCTTATGATTGTCCACTGTTGTCATCATTTGTTAAACTCAGGTCTGTTTGGTAAATGAGTCCCCGAGGTTCAATGGGACTAACCTGTCTTAAATAAAGGTTGAGTGAATGAAAAATGCATATCACACACACACACACACACACACACACACACACACACACCTGTGAACTGATCCCGGGTCAGCTGCTCTCACCTGTCATTAAGGAGTAGTAGTTAGGGTACGACAGACTCGGGAAGTCCGGGGTCAGATAGTCCACCTTGACCCCGCTCTCCACCAGCTCTCGGAACCCCGGGAACAGACCCAGATCCTCTGTGTAGTCGTGTCGGAACCCGTCGATGAGGAGCAGGAGCAGCCGAGGAGCCTGGAGGCTCTGCTGGACCGAGACCAGGACCAGAACCAGGACGAGCCGGGAGGGAGCCATGATGGACCTGGACCCACTGACAAGTCTATCTCTGTCAGCAGAAAACTGAAGTCAGTCCCTGAGCTTGCGGCGGGGCAAGGGGGTGGGTGGGGGTGGGGGTGGGGGGTGTAAGAAAGTATAGAGCTCCATTAGTGCCACAAAGCTGGACCTGCAGTGAAACTGTCACGTGCTGTTGGTGCAAACTATTCTGAGCAAACAACAATGTGTTTGTGTTGCACATTCAGCAGAGGCTGATCACACCCATCATTACCATTTTATCAATATTTGACCTTCTTCATGTGAACATGCACAACAATTAGAACGTGTTCTTCAGGTGTTAGCCTTGCTCTCATTATTGTATGGAGCTTTGTAAACAATTCACTAACAACATGGTTCAGACTATTGTTAGAAAAATATTAACCACGAGTTGCACAACTTTCTCAGAGAAAGGAAGTAGCAGTGAGAACTGTTCCACCAAAACGTTTTGATGAACAACAAAATTAAGTCAGGTCCTCTGGACATTCTTTTTGTTGAAACGTTTGAAACAGATGTTTTACCTGGATTATCAAGCATGAACTTTGATGTTTTGAACCACTTTGGTTATGGCTGCCTCAGAGGAGTCGAAGGGGGAGAGGGAGGACTTCAGAAACCATCTTATCACCATCAAACTGGTTGACCCAGTGTCATTTATGTCTAATTTATTCATTTGCTCATGAACAGAACAATACCACATACAACAAACATTAAACTCACCGTTAAAACATCTGGTGATGCTGTTAGCATGTAGCACTTAGCTCTGTCTGCTACACACTTTAAAAATACCACACATCTGTAGTCTCCACGATGAATACATTTAGATTTACCCAGTGGATGAATTCACATTTTTTTGTTATTCACACACCACTCATCTTTAAAACGTTTCCCTAAACATTATTTCAATTCAATTCAGTTCAGTTTATTTATATAGTGCCAAATCACAACAAAGTTGTCTCAGGGCACTTTACAGGAACATTCACATACATAAAAGCCAATTAGTAAAGTTCTCTGTCTAAGGAATCCAGCAGACAAGTTGAATCTTGGCTTCGTTGCAGCCTCCCATTCTGAGCAAGCACAGTGGCAACAGTGGAAAGGAAAAACTCCCTTTTAAAAGGAAGAAACCTCCAGCAGAACCAGGCTCAGGACAAGCGGCCATCTGCTTTGACTGGCTGGTTGAGAGGACAGGAAGGAGAGACAGACAAACATAGAATGGTAGGTCTGGGTATAGGTCCAGGTGTATCTGAAAGACAAAAAAAAACACATGTTAAGGATAGAAAAAATAATTACAAATACAAAACAGGTTGAGCAGAGTAAGTAAAGACAGTAGCAGAGTGAAAATTGTGTTCAGTTTGAACTCAGCAGTCCCAGATCTGTCCTCATACAGATTTTAACACAATTTAAGGAAGCGAAAGGCTAAACCATCTAACTAGAGATGTCTAATTGAGGAGACAGATTGCAGAAACATATCAGTCTCAGAGGGTCAGGAAGAGCTGTAACTTCTGGGGATGAGATATGGACAGAATGTCAATGTATCTGAATTTTTTTTTAGGGAGGGATAATTTATTCCTTTAAAATTGAAAAGGAGCAAAACATTCCATCTTCAGGGGTCTCCACAGCGAGTCATCCTCCTCCATCTCACTCTGTCCTCTATGTCCTATGTCCTCACTCCAACTACCTCCATGTCCTCTGTAACTGCATCCATATACAGTAGCTCCTCTTTGTCTTTTTCCTGGCAGCTGCATTTCTAATATCCTTATACCAGTATACCCACTGTTCCTCCTCTGGACATGTCCAAACCATCTCAGTCTGGCCTCTCCAACTTTATCTCCCAGTTGTTCAACCTGTGCTGTACCTCTGATGATCTCATTCCTAATCTTATTCATCCTTGTCACTCCTAAGGAAAACCTCAACATTTTCATTTCTGCAACTTCCAGTTCTGTCTCCTGTGAACCCCAAGTCCTTGAAGTCCTGCACCTTTGTGACCTCTGCTCCTTGTAGTCTCACTGTTCCACCAGCCTCTATCTCATTCACACACATGTACTCTGTCTTTCTATGCTGACTTTCATTCCGCTACTTTCAAGTGCATACCTCCACCTCTCCGAATTCTTTTCCACCTGTTCCCTGTTCTCACCACAGATCACAATGTCATCTGCAATCATCATAGTCCACGGGGATTCCTGCCTGACCTCATCTGTTAGTCGGTCCATCACCAGAGCAAACAAGAAGGGGCTCAGAGCCGATCCTTGATGCACTCCAATCTCCATCTTGAAGCTATCACGTGCTGTAGGAGCTGTTACTCCTACAGCACATCTCACCACTGTCCTGCTGTCCTCATACATGTCCTGCTGTCCACATGTATGTCTTGTTGTCCTCATACATGTCCTGCTGTCCTCATACATGTCCAATACCAGTCTAACATGTCCCAATGTCCTCATACATGTCTTGCTGTCCTCATACATGTTTTGCTGTCCTCATACATGTCATGTACCAGTCATACATGTCCTGCTGTCCTTATACATGCCCTACACCAGTCTAACATGTCCTGCTGTTCTCATACTTGTCTTGCTGTCCTCATACATGTCCTGCTGTCCTCATACATGTCCTGTACCAGTCTAATATGTCCTACTGTCCTCATACATGTCCTGTACCAGTCTAATATGTCCTGCTGTCCTCATATATGTCCTGTACCAGTCTAACATGTCCTGCTGTCCTCATATATGTCTTGCACCAGTCTAACATGTTCTGCTGTCCTCATATACAGTGCCTTGCGAAAGTATTCGGCCCCCTTGAACTTTTCAAACTTTTGCCACATTTCAGGCTTCAAACATAAAGATATAAAATGTTATTTTTTTTGTGAAGCATCACCAACAAGTGGGACACAATTGTGAAGTGGAAAGAAATTTATTGGATGTGCCAAACTTTTTTAACAAATAAAAAACTGAAAAGTGGGGCGTGCAATATTATTCGGCCTCCTTGCGTTAATACTTTGTAGCGCCGTCTTTTGCTGCAATTACAGCTGCAAGTAGCTTGAGGTATGTCTCTATCAGTTTTGCACATCGAGAGACTGAAATTCTTGCCCATTCTTTCTTGCAAAACAGCTCGAGCTCAGTGATGTTGGATGGAGAGTGTTTGTGAACAGCAGTCTTCAGCTCTTTCCACAGATTCTCGATTGGATTCAGGTCTGGACATTGACTTGGCCATTCCAACACCTGGATACGTTTATTTATTTATTTTTCCTCCCAGGCTCTGATCCAGGTGGCAGCTTCAATTTCTCCTCCCCCGTTTTTTTCCTTCTTCCTGCTCTGCTCTCTGTCTGTCTGAAGCGCCTGGGTCTCATCTCCCGAACATAAATTAAGAAGATTATGGATTTGATATCGTGGGCGTCCTTGATGCACTCCAATCTCCATCTTGAAGCTATCTGTCATCAGCTATTGATAATATTTTTTTCATCAAAGCGACAAGGTCCTGGGGAACCAGCATGTCCAGCTGAGACTCACGCTGTGGGGTACGTCACGGATTCGTGGGGAGTGTGGCAATCGATGTGCATTATAGTACTGTCTCAAGAAGATGTTGAAGACGTTTACATATTTGGACTTATGATAGCAGGGACTCTGCTTTTTGGCATTGGCGGGGCTCTGTTTTATCAACTTTTGAAGAAGACAGCGGGAGCAGTTTTGGCCATGGAAAAGCTTCTGAGTCAGTGTGAAGGTCTGGTCCTCGCTGTGGGAACTTTAAATCGTTTGGTCTACGAGCTTAACCGTAAGGTGGAGGCGATTGAGAATCGCATACCACCTGCGGCTTCTAGGACTCATCAGCGTGGTGGGTTCGACCTTGAAGGAGACTCATAGCATGGATCAGTGAAATTAAATTCCACAATTAGGCTTTTTCGGAACCAGAACGCCCAAATGGACTCAAGGCTGAAGAAAAAATCTGTCTGCCTGAAGAAAAACAAATATTAAGCTTATCTAATCTCTAATCTGACTCCCAATGGCCTCGGAGACAGGCTGACTATCAAATTTCTCCTGGGACATGAGTACCCAAGGACAAAAGCTTCATCTA